AATCACTCAAGCCAAATTGAATAGGTAGCCATAAATGAAATTACAAGTCTTTTTGTTTGTTTGTTTTTCCACCCTGAGGGGTATACACCAGTTGATATTAATCAAAATAGGCTAAGAAATGGTAACTGTGAAAGAAGTATGAATCGGGCATAAGTTACATTACAAATTCATCTGAGACTCCAACACTTATAATTGTGACATTTTACTCAAACATGGTGTTGTCTTTGCAGAGAAATTTTATTCACTGATTGAATTTTTCATCCAAATGTCAGCAGAGACATGGGATGTACTTGGACAAATCACATTTCATACTTAAAGTTTTAATGAGGGGTGAAGTGCTGGTTTTGGGTGAAGTGCAGGTTTTTTTTTTTTTTTTTTTTGGGGGGGGGGTGGAGTGCCATGTTTTTCAAGGTGTATACCTTTACATGTGAGTGCATATATAAAATATAATCTTGTTCATTTTTTATTAATAAATAAAAATAAATACTGATAAGTGGTTTGGGGGGGCACTGATGAAAAAAGTGAAACAGTTGCTGCAGGTTTGCTATCAATAGTTGGTAGTGTGTGCAATCTTTACACAGTAATTTATTTTTGTTAACTTTTATGATATGAGAAGGCTAAAACACATTTTTGCCAAATTGGTTACAGGAATTCAACAGCATTTCATTGCACTTCCTGGCTAGATCCCAGCTTTCTCATGCTCCAAATTCTTACCAACAACTGGGTCCATTTCAGAGCCCTTCATCTGTTGTAAGCTTTGCATAACCATGAACTTAATGTCTTTAGGAGTAGTAAAAACAGCATCACAGTTGTCCATCATGAACATGACCAGAAGACTTGTAGGCTGTGGAGCAAGCAGCTTACATTTGAAGACAGCCCCAGTGAATATGTTATTCACTGCCTCTCTGTTACTCAGCTGAAATGCAATCGATATTAAATTAGGCACTGGAGGTAGATTGGTCCCTTGTCATTTCACATAGATAAGTTTTCATAAAAAAACTTCAATCAATGATGATACAGTTCTTTTCCCACGAACAGATACCAATTCACAATTAGAACAGTTGTGTGGACATGGAAAGTAAAGAGAAACCCAACTCTGCTATTATGACTCATTACTAAAGATTTCAAAAACCAATCCATGAGAACGTTAGTTCTTTTCTCATGAAAAGATACCAATTAACAAATTGAACAGTTTTATGGGCATAACAAATGAGTATGCAACATAAGTATGCAATTATGACTCATTGCCATAGTTTTCAAAAACCAATCCATGCACGAAATGTACCTTTGGATCAAGCTTCATTTCACCATCAGAAGCCGCCACTTGCATGAACTTGAGGAGCTTCTTTAACTCGGCTCTTATGTCCGTGGGCAACAGCAACATGCTAAGTTGAAGAGCTTCCAAGCCAGACCGCTTTCCTTCACTGATCAGTTTGATGATCCCAACATAGAGATCCAGGCATTTGTCTGACAGCAAAGGTTGGGGCATTGCACTGTAGTGGCCTGCTAGGGTCTGAAACAGCCTCCACTTCTGCTCCTCGGCAGACATGAGCTCGTTGGCCAGGCTGGTGAGGACGGAGATGCCTGCTGGGATGTGGTCCAGCAGGCTCAGGGCTCCCTTTATCCAAGGATCACTGGGCCTGATAGACAGAGGAATGAAATAATGGTCAGGTTCCATTACAACATGTTTTTATGACGGACTACTTAAAAAGCAATTTAGCTCGAGTAGATTGAATGGTAACACACATCCCTATCATTTTTACCTCACACACACATATATGCAATTTCTGACCAGGGGGTTGTAATTTTATATCCTAACAGGAATGTAGCATACCTTTGGACTAAGTACGGGATATCTAAAGAGAAGCCAGAATATCTAAGACAATGTTTATTGCCCCTTAACTTTTTTTTTACAAACAATTATACAACAAAGTGTCCCTCACCTTTCTGATCCAATATAACAGGGACTAGCATGACCTGTGTTGAATATGACAGTATTATGCCTTGTTGCTTTCTTCTCTCGGCTGGCATCCATCAAGATACCATCTAGCATTGGCAAGTCAATAATCGTTAGAAGTTTTGCCAAAGCTGCCTCTCTGAATAGCTCTTCTTTCACTGAAAAGCATGTGAAAAGATTGCATGCATTTCAAAGATGAATTTACCCTATAATGTCTAATTTTTCTTTTCATTTTGGAACTGCTTTTGTTTGTTTTACTGAATAAGAACTTGGTTAACGTCACACCACACCATAACTCACTTATTGCAAATTTTTCTTCAAATAGCGTCTTCCGTAACCCTTCACCCATGCAAAAAAACAAAAAAAAAAAAACAAAACAAAACAAAAAAATCTTTGAATGAAAGGCTAAAATAAACTCTCAATGCTTAAAATAATGAAACAAACATGTAACATGCATGCAATAGAACAGTCAATGCACTGACATCAATTAAGTTAAAGAACAATCAAAATTTATTGAGATCTGCATTAGTGCAGCTGAAAGCCACAGTCAATGATCGATGTAATAAATCCTTTGCCCAATCTACAATCTTGCAGCTTATTATGAATGAGGGCTTCAACAGGTGTGCAGCAGATGCTGAATGCTGTTGTTGAGACAATGTGGCTTCAGGCTGTGATGTGTTAAATTTGTATATCTACCTTCTGCAGGTATACGTCTCTTCTTTAAGCAGTCTGAAAGAGGTGTCCCTTGATTGCCCTGCCAAGCAATTTTAGGTGGACTCCTAAATACATCCGGAGTAAAGTTCTTTTTGACAAAATCCCTGCTTTTCCTTTTCATAGAGTCTGATATGTCTGAGCTTCTCTTTCGTATCGAGTCTTTGATATTGATGATCTCCTGTAAGACTTGTCCCTGGCGATTCACCACCACTGGGTTACTGTACACTCCCTCTCCATCTATCAGATCAGGCTCCACTTCTTTATGAATTCTGAAAAGGACAAGAAAAAGAAATAAAGAAAACAGTAATATGTATATAATTTTTTTTT